AGAGTTGGACAGTGACTAAGGATGACAGAATAGATGCTTTCGAGTTGTGTTGCTGGAGAAGAGTCTTGAACATACCATGGACTACCAAGAAAACAAATAGGTCTGTCTTGGAGAAGGTGAAGCCAAGTCTTTCATTGGAGGCTAAGATTTTGATGTTTCGCCTCACTTACTTTGGGCACGTGGCCAGGAGAGATCAGTCCTTGGAGAAGGACATCATTCCCAGGAGGATGAGCAGACAGCACAGGAGAGGGAGACCCAGGATGAGATGGATTGATACAGTAGCTGGGTCAGTGGGGGTTGGTGTGTCAGAGTTGATTAGACTAGCTCAGGACAGGGAAGGGTTCAGAGCTGCTGTATATAGGGTTACTATACATCACAAGTAACTCAATGGCACATAAAAACAATAACATACTATGACAGATTTGGAAGCAGGAGTGGCATCCACTTCCTAAATAACATGCTTCCAGAAACTCTATGAACTTTGATACATGTCAATGCTGTAGAGGGGCTTCAAGTCTTTTGTTCACAGGCTCACTATGAGTCATGCTCAACTCAAAGGCAATCAACAACATGTATGTGAGAATATACAGAAGAGAGCTAAAGGTCATTACAAAGAGAAAGAATGAAGAAACAACTAAAATGAATGTAAGAAGAGACTCTGAAAAAGGCATTAAAGCACTGAGAAGCCAAACAAAAGGAATAGATGCTGAAAGAAAGAGCCAAACATAAGATTTCAAAGGACAGACAAAACAAAATATTGTAACTACAAAACAATATGTTGAGAGGAGACAAAACAAAATATTGTCATGGAATAGGCAAGTAGCTGGACTCAGAGAATAAAAAGGGAAGAACTCACGCAGCATATCTCAAGCTGAAAGAAGTGAAAACCAAAGTCAAGCCTCAAGTTACGATACTGAGACATACTATGGGCAAACTCTTTTTCCCTCCCAAGAAATGAACAGATCTTTATTGCACGGTCTGAGAGGGACATGAAGTGACCATGTGCAGAGCAAGTAAAAATGGCACGAGGGCAGTCAAGGACAGTTCCTTTTAGAATTTTAGGGAGGACTAAGTGACTGCTACAATGAGCTCTTGTGTGTCAGGAAGTGTGAGGATGACTCAGGACAGGACTAAGTTCAGCTCTTTTGTTCAACGGGGCACTATGAGTTCTACTTGACTCGATGGCACCTGACAACAACAACAACAGGGAAGATGGTATTTTCTCAGAATTTAGGATGGGGGTGACAAACACTTGAATGATCCAAAAAGCATCAAAAGAAGATGGAAGTGCACAATTAAAAATTATAAAATCAATAAATGAGACCTCCTAAAGAACAAGTCTCTGTGTACATCAAAACCTTTTTCCAGTAGAGTAAAAATAAAGTCTATAGACTGGGAAAAAATATTTGGCGATGACATCTCAGACAAAGGTCTCATAATGAAATTTTACAGAATACTCTATGGCCTCCACAAGAAAAAGACTGAAAATCCAACCACAAAATGGGCAAAGGACATAAGAAGACACAAATGAAGATATCACTGGCAATCAGAGAGATGCAAATAAAAATAGCCCAAATGTCCTTCAACAAACAAATGGATTGAGAAGTCATGGCACATTCACACAATGGAGTATTATGCAACACTAAGAAACAATGGTTTTGTAAAATACTATACAGCATGTAGGAGGCTAGAGAACATTATGCTGGGTGAACGATCTCATAAGAACAAGTACTGCATAAGACCATTTGTGTAAAAAAGAAGAATTACTGGTAGGAATTGTATAAATATTTTTTAAAAAGGGTCAGGAGAAGGGAGATGAGGACAAATAGAAAAGAGGGGACGAAATCACTAGGATAGCAGAGTAAGTGGGAAGACAGAGAGATTAAGAAATAGGAAAGATAAAATGAGGACTTGTAAAGATGGGTAATAATAAGCATAGATAAATCATAATTACATAAAATATAATGTATATGAATTGTTATATGAAACACATGTAAATGAAAGATTGTATAAAACACAATGTGCATGAGTAAAACAGAATGTATTTCAAACACTTCTTGAAATATTTATGATGTAAACAATATCTTTTTGTTGCTGACTGAGAAGATACAGAGAGCTTTTCAATTTTGTGCCACTTAGAATTTTGTTTTTGAGGTAGAATAAGATTCCTTATTCTCATTGATCTTAAGAGATCGCCAAGGTTATAACCTGTCAAATTTGGGGTTTTTTAACATAATATATTAAAAATACTTTACTTTTATAGCGAAAATTATTTCATACACATACACTTCAGTGTTATGACAGGCTACAAATCAATTTATATGAATGCCAAAGAATGAATTTTTCCTGTACTTTGGCCTGAATCAGCTTATGCTCACTCGCTCATTGCCATTGATCATGAAGGAATCAACTCACAGTTGACCCTCCAACAGGTTTTTGGAGGAAAGTCCCATCAAAGGAGACTTCCCACCTATTCCCCATAGAGGTGTTTGGTGGATTTGAAACACTAGAGGGCCATTATCTTTGGAGTAGCATTGCAATTCCCTTTAATTCAGATCACCAGAGCTGTCAGAAGCCTGCATAAAAAGGATTATTTATGTAAGTGGCAGAGTTTGACTATGGCCTCTGTTTTTTTCCTGTAACCAGAAATTCCTACCCTCTTGCAAGTCCAGCTTCTGCACATTGCAATTACCAACGAGTTTCATTATAGGGCTTCAAAAATAAATACATATGTAACTAAAAAAAAAAAAACCACAAAAAAAAACCAACACCAAAACCCACAACCACCTAGAAAGTATATGGATTATTGCATGCAAACCAATGTAAAGAAGAAAAGATAAGTAGAAAATAGAGGAAGCTACAAAACTTCAAGTACACTGTAAGTGGCCAGGGTTGGGGTGGGGAAACCCACTAAATTCAGATGGGGAAAACAGTTAAAATGAATACACAGAGTCATTGTACCAATAAGAATTGGTTAACACCGAAAAATTTCAGAAAGTATTATACGAACAAGAGTCAATGGTAATGAAGGATGAAGTTCAAGCTGCACTGATAGAAAGTGCAAAAATAAGGTCCCAAGAATGGATGGGATACCAATTGACAGGTTTCAACTAACAATTGTAGCTCTGGACATACACACTCATTTATTCAAGGGAATATGGAGGACATTGACTGGCCAACTCCTTGGAAGAGATCTATATTTGTTCCCATTCCCAAGAAAAGTGGCCCACAATATGTGGAAACTATTAAACAATATCATTAATATCACAAGCAATAAAAATATAGCTGAAGGTCATCCAAGAATGACTAAAGCAGTACATTGACAGGGAACTGTTAGAAGTTTAAATTGAGTTTAGAAGAGGTAATGGAAGCAGGGAGATCATTGCTCATGTCAGATGGATTGAAGCTGATTTTTATGAAGAGTGTGACATCAAGTTCAGAGAAAAGACTCATTAACAACTTGGATTCTGCACATGACACAACTTTGCTTGCTGAAACTGATGAAGAACTTGATGCAGAAGATCTAAGACCTCAATATGGATTACATTTTAATGTCAAGAAGACAAGAATCCTCATCAATGGGTCAATAGGCAACATCATGATAGATGGAGAAGGGCCAAAGCTGTCAATGATTTCATCTTGCTTAGATCAACAATCAACATTCTTGCTATTAGCAGTCAGGAAGGAGGTCAGGAGACATCTTGCATTGGGAATTCTGCAGTCAGGGACCTCTCCAAAATACTGACGAGTATAGATGTCAGCTTGAAGACTTTCAGGTGTGTCTGATTCAAGCCATAATCTTTTCAATCATGTGCTATGCATGTGAGAGCTGGAGAATGATTAAGGATGAGAGTAGAACTGATATCTTTGAGTTGTGGTGTTGGAGAAAAATGCAGGATACCCCATGGACTTCCAAAAGAACAAATACATAGCTTGGAGAAAGTGCAGCCAGCGTGCTTCATGGAGGCAAAGATGGCAATGCACTGTCTGTCATACTTTGGATATGTTATTAGGAGAGGCTATCCCTTGGAAAGGAACACTATGCTTGGAAATTTGGAAGCTGGGCAATAGAAAGGAAAACTCCTGATGAGATGGATGTAATGACTGCAGCAATGAGATCAAGTGTGTCAGAGATGATGAGGATAGGACAGGGTTCAGATGTGTTAGTGGTTACGAGGTGTACTCTCCACTCAATGGCATCTAACGATAACGCGCGCGTGTGTGTGTGTGTGTTGACCTCTAGTTGTCAAGTGATAAGAATTTGTGCTGAAAAACCAAAGGCAGGCAATTTGAATCCATTACCTGCTCCATAGGCAAAAGAGAAAGATTAGTAATCTATCCCAAAGCATACTGCAGTCTCTGAAAACCTGATAAATGGTAAGTTATGGGTTGTTTCCAACTCAACAGCACATTAGCAAAAAAACAAACTATATATACAAGAACGTCATTATAAGGCAGACATGAAATCACCAAAATGTAGTTAAAATGTGTATATTAATTGTTGTTACGTGCCATCGAGTCACCTGCAACCCATAGTGACCCTATGTACAGTAGCTCTGAACCCTGTCCTGTCCTGAGGCAGTCTCATTAATTCTAACACACCAATCCTCCATTGACCCAGTTACTGTATCAATCCATCTCATCCGGGTTCTTCCTCTACTGCTCTGTCCCTTCACCCTCTCCTGCTCTGTCCCCCCACCCTTCCAAACATGATGTCCTTCTCCAAGGACATAGTATGTGAGATGGAGCTTCAAAATCCTAGCCTCCAAGGAGAGACTTGGTTTCACCCTCTCCAAGACAGACCTATTTGTTTTCTTGGCAGTCCATGGTATGTTCAAGACTTTTCTCCAGCACCCTAATTCAAGGGCATCTATTCTTCTTCTATAGCCTAACTGAATATTTAATCCTAAATCTACAGGTTCTCAAGATTGTTTCCTTTGGAAGCATCTGTCCCTTAAAGGAGAAGCTCCTTCCCTTTAAAGGAGAAATCTATTAAAAATTTACCTTTTTCTCTTTCGTTTCCCTATCATTAGCTTCTTTAATGATTTCTTGACATCTCTGTTTCTCAAAGTGTAAATTATGGGATTAAGCACAGGTGGAATCAAGTTATATAGCAGTGCCACAAACTTGGTCACATCATGAGAGAGCTTTGGCTTTGGGGTCACATATACATAGATGAGAGTACTGTAGAAGATGAATACCACTGTGAGGTGGGAGCTACAGGTCCCAAGTGCCTTCTGTCGACCCCCAGGGGCCTTCACCCCCAACACACTATAGACAATGCGCCCATAAGAGATCAAGATCAATGAGAGAGGAAAGATGAGAAACACACTGCTCAAGATTGTAATCCCCTTCCTATAATTTGATATGTCCACACAGGCTAGTTGTATCACTGGAGGCATCTCACAGTAGAAATGGTTTATCCGGTGGTGGCCACATCTAGGAAGGGTCATTGTGATAGGTGTGTTGACTAATGAATTACCAAAACCCAAAAACCAGGATATGCTGGCCAATGCCCAACACAGCTGTGGTGGCATGAGGGTGAAATAATGCAAGGGCTGACAGACAGCAACATAACGATCATATGCCATCATGGCCAGAAGGATACACTCAGTGGTCCCTAGACACAGGGTAATGAGAAACTGAACTACACATCCTCCAAAACTTATGGACTTGTCAGCACTCCCAAGGTTGACCAGCATCTGAGGACTGATGCAGGTCACATGGATGAGATCAATAAAGGACAGGTGAGTGAGGAAGAAATACATAGGCGTATGAAGCTGGGAGTCCAGATGGGCGATCAGGATTATGGTCCCATTACCCATGAGTGTTAGAAGGTAGAATATCAAGATGAACACAAACAAGATCCTCTCCAGCCATGGCTGATCTGAGAAGCCCACCAAGATGAAACCTCCTCCAGACGTGAAATTGTCTCTTTCTATGAATTTCTGAGTGACCTGTGATGAAAACAAAAAGAAAGCAATTATAACCATTGAGATCGGCCTCATGTGTGTGAGAATTCTGCCTCTGACCTCCTTTAAGTTGAAAATTTCCATTCATTTATTATCTTTCTTACCCAGAAAGATAGCTGGCCAATTTAGGAATTGCATCTTTGACTGCAGAAAATGGCCAGAGAAGAAAGTTAACTCACTCTTGCGGGAATAACTATGACCTTGTAGCACAATTTTCCTTTTCATTTTTCTCTAATGGTGCTCATTTCTTGTTTTGGTTTCCGTTCTCTCTTTTTTTACCATTTTAATGTTTTTATAGAATAATAAAAAGTTCTTTTGATGATTGCAGAACTTGTAAGGAAAGCTGTTTGGTAGCATTCAGAATCACATGTTAATGCTGGTTTTCTGACTGGTTTGTAGTCAATTATTAACTCATATGAAAGTGCTTATTAGACCAATAAGACAGCATTTATGCATCCATTATTTTCAGGATTGTTGGTAACCTGAGTACATTTTCCCAAAATAATTTTGTCTCCTTGTATCACAAAGCCCAACTCACATTCACTTAAATGACTGGACCTTCATAAATAACACTCAAGATTGTGTACAGTTGGGATGAACGATTCTTCTTATTGGCAGGCAAAATGTGACTTTCATTTCAGGATGTGTTACATATGCCTTATTGAACGTAAGCCCATTGTTTTGATAAATCTTTCATATTTAGGTGGTTTGGATGTAAAACCATCTGCAACAAAGCAGACTTTAGTACCCATCTTCTGCCATTCTCTCTTTTTTCTCTTTCCTCTTCGAATAAGTTTCAATACTTCTGTTTCTCCCTGGGCACAAACTTTGGGTAGAGGAACTTCCCATTACACATAACTTCATCCTTCATAAGATCATCTTCTATCCATGTTCCATGTGCTCTTACCTAGCTATCAATTTATCACCAAGTAAGCAAGCATTCTTGCCAATAATTCACAACTGATGCAGTTGCTTACTCTAAAGACAGTAAGGTGATAGTTTGCAGGCCTCAAATTTTGAGAAATTTGCCGTAAACAGATGGATATGACTCAAAGAGGCAACCAGATAGGCAGAAGAAAATGACTCAGACTTGTTTTGACAAATATTCATACTGTTGATCCCAACAGTCTGTTGAGAAAACAGTGAATTAGCCTTTCCTTCTCCTGGCCACAGTGTGTCCTCTACTCATGGCTTCTTTTCCTCCTCTTATCTGCCCTGACACTTATTTTATTATTTCTGGATACAAAACTAGTGGAAAACCTAGAGTTGTATTTCTTTTGAACTCCAAAAAAAATCAATACTCTAAAGTAGTATTAGTAATTTTATGACAGCTGAATTTAAAAAGAAATGTGGACTTTGATATTAAAGTTAATCTATGACCCCCTATTCAAAGCTACTCTTAGAAATTCCCTTCTTAAAGAAAAAAAAAGAAATTCCCTTCTTAAAAATTGTCCTCCTTTTACAAGTGGACAAATGCAAAAATGCATTTACTTTTGTCTCCCTTGTGATTCACTCATTAAAAAAAAAAGGGTAAGAACATGGAATAAATTTGTTCCCACACATATGCATTAGATTAACCAGAAGATCCCATTAAAACACAGATTGTTGGGCCCTACCTCCAAGTCAATAACTTTGTTATGAAATATGTTGTTGTTGTGTGTTGTCGAGTCGCTTTCAACTCACAGCAACTCTGTGCACAACAGCCCTAAACAGTGCTCTATCCTGAACAACCTTATTGTCTCTGACACACCTACCCCAATTACCCCAGTCACTGACTATATCCATCTCATTGAGGATCTTCTTCTCTTGCACTATTCCTCCACCCTCCCAAGCATGATGTCCCTCTCCAACGATTTACCCTGCTTTGTAACATGCCCAAAGTATGTCAGATGAAGCTTCAGAATCTGTGCCTCCAAGGAGCAGCCTGATTTCACTCTCTCTAGGATGAACTTTTTGTTCTCCTACCTGTCCATGGTATATTCAATACTCTTCTCCAGCACCACAGATCAAAGGCATCAATTCTATCATCCCTAGTTATTGTCCGGATTTCTGATGCATAGCAAGTAATTGTGAAGATCATGGCCTGGATCAGACACCACTTAGTCTCCAGACGGACATTATTGCTTTTCTTAAATCTGAAGATGTCCCTGACAGCAGACTTTCTCAGAGCAATTCGTCTTTTAATTTCCTGGCTGCTGGTACCAAGAGTGTTGATTGTGGAGCCAAGCAAACAAAAGCTGTTAACAATTGCAATCTCTTCACCATTTATCATGATGCTGCCAATTGGCCCTGTGGTGAGAATGTTTGTTTTCTTGATGTTGAGCTTCAATCCATTTTGAAGGCTGCAATCCTTGACTTTCTACAGCAAGCACTTCAGGTCCTTCTCAGTTTCAGCAAAGCAAGTTTGTGTCATCCACATAACGCAGGTTGTTGACGAGTCTTTCTCCAATCCTGATGCCACATTTCTCCTCATAGAGTCCAGCCTAAAAAAATGAATTTCTTTAAAAAAAACAAATTGTATTCCATAGATAGAGGTTTCTATAACTATGAAATATAGAATTTGTTTTGTTGGGGTTTTTTTTTAGCAAATTCCCAAAAGATTTTGATGTTGTTGTGGACCACCCAGAGAAACACTGTCTGGCATAGGTACTTATAAAAGGTCTCATCTTAATGAAATAATTAATTATAAGATTGAGAAAATAATTACAATAATGACCTTGTCATATGGTATAGAAAATTTTAAATAGCTGATAGCAGAAAACTTGCTCTTAGGACCTACATGATACCAAGTTTGCACACATTATCATCCTAACACTTTCAAACTTTATCTCTCAGCATCTATTCTGATTGCAAATTAGCATAAGTCTTAACTAAACCATTGGTGAATATATATAAGCATGTACATTTCCACACGTATTATACATGTCCATTTGCATTAGGTTCGCTTCATTACCACCAAATCAGAACTAAATCATAACTGACCATCCAATAGATTGCATGGGAGATTGTCCATTTTCTCCCTCCAAGCAGCTGGTGAATTCCAACCACCTGCCTTAGAGCAGCAGTGCAGCTTCTTACCCACTAAATGACAAGAACAATATATATTTGCATGTTGTTATGTGCTTTGGTGTAGGAACAGACTCATAGCTGAAATTGTTGGTGGCAGCAGGTCATAGTTGGCCCTGCATTGGGTTTTCAGAAACTGTAAATTGCACAGCAGAAGATTGCTTTTCATTCTCTCACAGAGCAGCTGGTGGATTTGAATCAACTGTCTTTGTGTTGGCATCTCAAGTCCTTATTCCTCGGCCTCCAGAGCTCCCTATATATGTTTTTGCATAGGATGCATATATCAGCCAAGGGACTTGGTATGGTGGCTATTGTTAATGTTCACAGGGAAATAGATTAAATATAATTTAACAGATTAAAATTTTTATTTGTGAAAGTATACAGCTTAAGAAATTATCAATAAAATGTTTTTATATGAAGACTTAATTCTCATTTATTGTTTCTTTTTTGAGAAGTCTGGAAGTGGTCTCAAGAAAACAAAGTTGAAAAATTGACTTCTTAAAACAATACTTTCACATTGGTAAAATAATGTTCTTGGCATTGGTTTCATGAGTCTGATGTTTCAGAAGTTACTGTTTTTAGGCATTACCAATTTTTCTCCAACTCATGTTGAGTCTATGTACAACAGAATGCAGCATTGCTCGGTTCTGCACCATCGTTGTTATCTGTGAGTCCATGGTTGCACACATTGTCCATCCACATTTTTTAAGGTATTCTTGTTTTCTGCTGACCCTTTACTTTACTGAGCACGATGTTCAGGAACAGATGCCCTCCTCATAACATGTCCAAAGTGTCTCTCTTTGCCATCCATTTGGAACCAACTCTTAGCTGACACGCTGGCATTTTTTTTAACACTGTAAATTACACTGGAAGAGATATCCCATCTTTCCCTCTCAAATCTACTGGTGAATTTGAACCACCAAAGAGGTACCACCTTTGAGTTAGCAATGTCCTGTGGACAACATAATATCAGGACAATATAAAACCTGGAATGAGAACATGTCCCAAAAAAAACTCTGAAAAATTAAGAAAGATTTAAGTAGCAGGAGACAATATTAGCTACATAAATTACAGTACCCGTGGGTTTAAGAATAAACAAAGTAGCACAATGTTGTTGTTGTTGTTGTTGTTATAGTAATGTGCCCTTGAATTGGAACCAACTCACAGTTGACCCTGGATTTTCAGAGAACATAAATCACATAGGAGGAGGTTGTTCATTTCTCTCCCTTGGAGCATCTGGTGAATTCAAGGTTCATGGCTTTAGGTTGGCATCATAAATCCTGACCAGGAGGCCACCGGAGCTCAATAGATACATGAATAGTCTTCACAATGACACCTATGAGAAATGTTTCTCCTAGGTTTCCCTAACAGAATCTCAGTATTCTCATAGCAAACAAAGCCATAACTTTAACAAACAATGCTGTTTCTTTTAATATATATTGACGGCATGCTACCAAAGTACAATTCAATTTAGCAAAAGTAATTCACCAAGGACATGGCAAATCTGGGTTGGCACACAGGAACAGGTGAAAGAAACATTCCTCAGATAATAATCTTTGAGTAATCCCCTAGAAACTAGATTTCTATCACTAAAGTTTTATGAAGCACTCAGAGGGAGCTCTGATGGCACAGTACATAGGGAGTTGGGTTGTTAACCTAAATGTGGTGCATCTCTGGTGGTTCAAATCCACCAGAAACTCCAATAGACAAAGATAGGCAATTTTATCCCATGCAATTGAAAGCCTATGCAAACCTGTGGAAGGGACACCTGTAAGTCGGTTCAGACTCAGTGACAATGAGTTTCCACATGTTATAAAGAAAGACCCAGTTAGTGTAAGAATTAAGTGGAAAATATGTTGATATCTTCTGAAAGCTTAAAAACCAAGCGAAAACAGTGCATACTGAATATGGTAGATTCACTACCAAAATGCAGTGACCACCCAAAGAATTGAGGGGAAGAGGTCTCTAAATATTCAATTAGTTATGTAGTGATTTCATGTAAATAACTGACAATAACCACATGTGAAAAATGCTTCCCTGGGCCATAAAAATGCTTCAAAATGTCCATAATAAAATGGTGCAACCACTATGGAAGGTGGTTTGGCACTTTCTCAAGGAGTTGGAAATAGATTTATTTATCATTTGACCTAGCAATGCCACTCCTGGAAATAAACCCTAAATAAACTAGAACTGCCATCCAAACAGATATATGCACACCTATGTTTATTGTTGCATTATTTACAATAGCTTCGTTGCATTATTTACAATAGCAAAGAGATGGAAGCAACCCAACTGCCCATCAATAAACAAATGGATAGACAAACTGTGGTATATTCATACAATGGAATACGATGCATCCCTGAAAAACATGACCGTATAGAATATTACACAACATGTATAACCCTGGAGAACATTATGTTGAGTGAAATATCTCAGTCAAAAATGACAAACATTGTTATAAAGCAGGTCTGACATGGAGGTTGGGAGGAGAATAGGATAAGAGTAGATAAATAATAAAAATGCCATCAGAAGAGATGAAGGAAAGAGCTGTTTAAAAGGAATATATGATTAGACATTATACGTATGACAACAGCCCAGGATAAAAGGTACATTGCAAAGAAGACTTGGGGGAGGGGTAGGTGGGGAAGGAGGTAATTGTGAAACAATAAATGGATTTCTTTTATTTTTTTTACAAAAGTGAACTGGGGAGGAAGAAGGGCAGGAAAGGGATAAAATGTGAGACAATGAATGAATTAAACATATAGCTTATCTGTAAACTTTTTTAAAATTACAGTTAAAATAAAAAATGTTATTTTTAAAAAATGTCCTTTTTTCAGAATATTTACTCCTGGATGTTTACTCCAGAATGTTTGGAATGTTTAATGCTGGACAACTTAAATTCCTTTCAGAAATTCCAAAAAAGGCTAATTGCAAATTGAAAGATTCAGTTAAATATTGGAGATTTAACAAAATGACATTTGGAAAATTATTTTTATGCCTATAAGTCATATCATTAGGAAAGCTCTGTACATTTTCTGCCTGTTACAAAGCAACCTATCCAGCCTTACCTGTAATGCCATGACCATGTTTCCTTCTGAAAAGTGACTCTAGAAAGAATGATGTCTTAAAGCAAACCCTCAGCATTCTAGAACACTACATCCTTAATCGTTGCAAGCAGCTTCATAGCTGTACCTTATGACTTATTTTAGAGCCACTGCACCTCAGTGTTATAGTGTTGTGTGCCATTGGGTCAATCACAACTAGTTTATGGCAAACCTATGAACAACAAATTAGAACCTTGCACTATTCCACACCATCCTCATCATCTCTGACATGTATGTCTGAGTCCATTGTAAAGTCACTGTGTCAATCCATCTTGTTGAAAGTCTTCCTTTTTTTTTCCTGACCCTCCAACTTTCCCAGAATGATGTCTTCTTTTCCAGGACCAGCCCCTCTTGACAACATGCACAAAGCATATGAAATAAAGTTTCATTACCCTTGTCTCTAAGCAGTATTATAGTGGCTCTTCCTCCAAGACAGACTTGTTTGTTATTTCTGGCAGTTCATGAGATATTCAGTTCTATTCTTCAACACCACAATTCAAAGTTATTTTCTTCAGTCATTCTTACATCTTGTCCAATTTTCGTGTGCATAGGAAGGGATTGAAAAGACCATGGTTTGCATCATGTGCACCTGAGTTTTTTAACTGACATTCTTGCTCTTTAATATCTTAGAGAGGTCCTTGAGAGCAAATTTTCCCTACCTACCTTTTTATTTCTTGGACCTACTATGATTACAGTTGGATCCAAGTAAGGTGAAGTCATTGACAACTTTAATCTTTTATCCATTAACATGTGGCCTACTGATCCCGTGTTGAGAATCCCCCCCCCCTTTTTTTAATGTCAAAATACAAACCTTAGTAGTTACAAGTAATTTCCTGTGACTGCTAGCAGGTCATATTTAATTGAAGGCTATGTCCTTCAGTAGTAAGATGACTAGAAAAGCCACTTATTTCCACATCCCTTAACGTGACATACATATTGTTGTTGTTGTTGTTATGTGCCGTCGAGTCGCCTGTGACTCAGAGCGACCCTATGTACAACAGTCCTAAACCCTGTTCTGTCCTGTGCCAATCTCACTGTCTCTAACACACCTACCCAATTACCCCAGTCACTGAATTAATCCACCTCATTAAGGGTCTTCTTCTCCTGTGCTGTCCCTCCACCCTCTCAAGGATGATGTCCCTCTCCAAGGACCGGTCGGTCCCTCCTTACAACATGTCCAAAGTATGTCAGAGGAAGGTTCAGAATTCTGCTTCCAAGAAGCAGCCTGGCTTCACCTTCTCCAGGATGAACTTGATTGTTCTAGCAGTCTATGGTTTATTCAGTACTCTTTTCCAACACCGTATTTCAAAGGCAGCAATACCGTCTATCTTCCCTAGTCATTGTCCAGCTCTCTGAAGCATAGCAATTGATTGCAAAGACCATGGCCTGTATCAAGCAGTGCACCTTAGTCTCCAGAGTGACACCATTGCCCTTCAGTACTTTGGAGAGGTCACAAACAGCAGACTTTCCCATCACAATACATCTTTTAATTTCCTGGCTGCTGGTGCCAAGAGTGTTGACTGGAGTCAAGCAAACTAAAGTTGTTAACAATCTCAATCTCTCCACCATCCATCCTGATGCTGCCAGTTGGCCCAGTGGTGAGAATCTTTGTCTTCTGGAAATTGAGCCTCAATCCATATTGAAGGCTGCATTCCTTGACCTTCTGCAGCAAGTGCCTCAGGTCTTCCTGAGTTTCAGCAAGCAGGGTTGTGTAATCTGCATAATGTAGATTGTTGATGAATCTTCCTCCAATCCTGATGCCACACTTCTCCTCATACAGCCCAGCCTCCTAGATAATCTGTTCTGCATATAGGTTGAAAAGGTATGGAGATAGGATCCATCCCTGGCGTATACCCTTCCCAATTTTGAATCATACAGTGTTTCCTTGTTCTGTTAAGAGAGCTATGAAATTACTCCTGAACATTTATTTGTAATTTCTATAATTTTCTGTTGATGTTTTTCTCATATTTAAGCATACTTATTTCATAGCTTTTAAAAAAATAGTGTTGCTATTGATCAAGTGTACCTGGACCTATATGTTTATATATGTTATACATATACTTTATATATGTTAAAGTATATATAAGCAAAACATTTTATATTAGCAGTTTATCAATAGGTTAGCAATATCTCAAATCTCCTATATTAAGCCATCCTTTAATTTTTCTATCAGTAGTAATTCCCTCTCAAACTCTTAGCTCTGTGTCCTTCTTTTTCAATAAAGAAGTGCCAATTTTAAGTTCTACATGCACCATTATATCTCTTTCAGAATCCCATTCAGGAAGTGTAGCAGCTCACAGAATAATTAGGGGGGAAAATCTGGAAACCATTTGACATGCGTGCACACTCCTCGCAGCCAAATCCAACTTAGATTTGTGGCCTTGAATTGTAATTAGTAGTTAAGTACATTTGGTCATTAAGATACAAAAGCAGTCAATTTTGAGAAGAGAGTCATTTTTCACACATTCTAAAGAATGGAGCAATAAAGATGAATGAAACTAATACTAAATATTACCTAGGATATCTTCCTGATGTTTGTTTTCTTCATACTACTTTAGGTCCTGAGAAGTCACTCATACCTCCAGTGTCTGTTGTTTTCATATGTATGCATGCCCCTGGCCACACTCACTACACACACTACCACCACCTCCATGAGGACCGAGGCCTTTTCTTCTGCTCCTGGTTCAAGGATGAATATTTCTGACTCTTCTCTTCTGCAACTTATCACTGTCCAGCTGAACTATGTCCTAAGTAAACTTCCTTTGAGGCATGTCCTACTGGTTTTAATCACAGGTGAAACCAGTAAGACCAAAAAGAATTTAAAAGAAAATGTAAAAAAAAACCCAGTAAAGTGGAGAAATGTGTTTTTAAATACATATTAATAGAGTCTTTTTCAAATGTTCACTGAAATAGTCCTAAATTGCTATTTTTTTCTTCTTGCAGTTATTGACTTTGTTGATTGCCATCCAGTTGAGGACAACTCATAGTGACCCTATGTGTAAAAGGCCTGAAGCCTTTCTATAACTATTGTCATTTATTAAAGTTCATAAAGTTTCCGGAGGCATGTTGTTTAGGAAGTGGATGCCACTCCTGCTTCGTTAGTCATCCTTTAATTTGAAGATCAATCCCTCTCAACCTCTCCTCTCACATGTGTCTTCCCTTTGCAATAAATAAGTGCCAATTTGAAATCCTTTAGGCACCACTGTATCTATCTGAACCCTATTTAGGAAGCTTAGTATGCTCAAAACAAAAAGCATTGAATTGCAAATAGCAGCCAGTTGGGGGCTAAAATATAAAAAATGTTCCCCTTGCTCTGCTCAGGGAAGTTATCTCTGATTTCCCTGGCACATGGTGTCTTGGTTATCTAGTGCTGCAATAACAGAAGTATAGAAAAATAAAATAGATTTTTAAAGAACAGAAATAACAGAAAATGAATGGATTTAACAAGGAGAAATTTATTTTCTCACCATTTATGAGGCTTGAAGTTCAACTCAGAGTATTGACTACATGAGAATGCAATCTCTCTTCATTTTAGAAGGACTTACACTTCTTTGAGCTTCTGTTTCCTGATTCCCTGGAGATCCTCATGTGTATTGGCATCTATCTTATCCCATGTCTCCTCTGCTCACTTGTTTATTCTGTCCTTTATCTGAAAAGAAAGAACCTAATGGCAAAATGGTTAAACATCTGGCAACTAACTGAAGCATCAGCAGTTCAAACCACACCAGCGTTTTCAAGACAGAAAGATGTGGTCCTCTACTTCCGTAAAGATTTCCGTTTCGGAAACCCCATGGGGCAGTTCTACTCTGCCCTATTAAATCATTGTGAGTGGGAAGGAATAGGCTTTACAAAAATTGGTCTATCTCAAGATGCATTGGCTAAAAATATACCTCATAATAATCTTACCTCATTAATTACAAAGGCAAGGCATTCCCAAATGGGATTATAACCAAAAGTACAAAGTTGAGGATTTATAACACATATTTCAATGGACATAATGCAATCCATAACTAATGGCAAACTGGGAATCACTTGTTGGCTCTGGCATTGCTACAGGGACCCACAATCTCTGATGATCAATTAGTCTCTGCCCTAGATAATAAGGTCCAAGGAGGCTCAAGGGTTATGATTCCCATAGAGATAACATTTGCTTCCCACAGAGTCTGATTTGCAAAAAGTGTTTGTCCAGCAGTGTCAATAGCCTCTAAAAATTGCTGAAATCCAGAATCTGTACACTTCAATATAAAACTGACTGGCCATTTTTTTAAAGCCAAATGAAAGACTAACACATTAACCATAACATTCTTTTATTACATTCTGTTTCACTAGTTCAAACAATTTTCTTGTCTCTATTAAGTTCGTATACATGCTCAACTTATTTAGCCTTAAGTACAGGATTATCATGTATTCCCATCCTTATTAAAAATGTTTTCTAACATCCATCAAAAATATATTCATTCCGTGAAGATTGCATCGGCTCATTTGGTTAGTGCTTTGAGATAATATCTAAGAGATTCTTAAGTAGTTACTAACTGAAGTTTTTTTAAAATGACAGGCCTTATTAACATTCTAGATCTCGATTTAAGGGCAATGTAATGTGAAGCAAATCACTCAATATAATTATTTAAACTTTATTGTCTTGATCAAGAAAATTATTAAGGGAATTATATCCATTTTCATAACACCATCAGGGTGTTTGTTTGTGTATTATTGACTATGCAAAGCATTTTGACTGTGTGTATTATAACAATTTTGCCTAACAATGAAAAAAAATGAGAATTCCAGAACCATTATGCTCGTATAATACCTATACACAGATTACAAAGCAATTATCCAAACAGAACAAGAGGAATACTGTATGGTTTTAAATCAGGAAAGGTGCATTTGCTTTCTCTGTATACTAAGCAAATAATTTGAGGAGTTGGACTAGAGGAAGAAAAATACAGCATCATGATTGAAGGAAGACTCATCAATAGCCTGCATTGTGCAGATAACACAACCTTGCTTGTTGAAAGTGAAAAGGATTTTAAATACTTTCTGCAGGAGATCTAACACTATAGGCTTCAATGCATATTACATCTCAGCATCAGGAAAACAAAAATCATAACCCGATAGGCAACATCATCATAGAGAAAACATTGAAGTTATTAACTATTTTATCTTACTTGAATCCACAATCAACACCCATGGTAACAGCAGTCAAGAAATCAAAAGACATATTGCAAGGGGAAATCTGCCGTCAAGGACCTTTCCAAAGCGCTAAAGATAAAGGATGCCAGTTTAAGGACTAACGTTCACCTGATCTGGGCCATGATCTGTTTTTGTTACTTCCTAGGCATGTGAAAGTTGGGTAATGAATAAGGATGATAGAAATATCAATGTGTTGTTAGAGAAGATTACCGAATAGCTCATGGACTGCCAAAAGAACCTGTCTTGAAGGAAGTTCAAACAAGTTACTTCTTAGAAGCAAAGTTGGTAAAACATTTTGGGGTATGTTGTCAGAAAAGGCAAGTCCTTGGAAAAAATCATGAGGCAGGAGAGGGGCAAGAGTCAGAGAAAAATAAACACCTCCAACTAGATAGACTTACACTATAACAATGGGATTGAGTATATCAGACATGGTGAGGGTGGTACAGGAAGGTTCAGATTGTTGTTCACAGGATCACAATGGAATACTACTCAATGGCAGCTAATAACAACAGCTGTAATGAGATATGGTAATGGAATATATAATGTAGGATGGTGCTCAGACCCATTGCCATTAAATCCATTTTTATTCATAGGGATTCCATGCATTACAAAGGCTCTACAGGGCTTTCTTGGATGTAATTTTTAAGGAAATAAATTCTAGGCTTGTCTTTATTAGAGCCATAAAGTGAATGAACCACAGCACAAATAAAATATACCATCCAAGAACTTTTAGACTTTGATAAAGGTTAAAAAAATATGAATAATTATTCTGAAAAATATTCATTTTACTCAGTAAAGTAATATTCTTTCTTACAAAAAAACATGTAGTAATTCTGAAATGTCTAGAAGCATGGTCTGAATCAACCAGCCTAAAAATAGTAAGTTAGATAAGTTCATATTTGATTCCAACTACCTTTCTTCCTAAAGTCTATCTTTATTATTAAAAAAAAGGTTAAAAAATTTAGTAGAATGGAATACTAAAGGTTGAATTGAAAGTTAGAGAAACTTGGAGGTCAGTTTCAAGCCCTATGAACTTCTCTCATTATTAATAAACTGAAAATATATCAAAACATATTCACAATGTTGCTCTATTAATGAGAATCCCTGCAAAAAAGTGAAAATAATATAAATGCTAGTTATTGAAATAAAATATTAACACAGTTTATTTTGATCTTGAGAAGTTATTAACAATTGAGAAACTTCTTCTCACCTTAAGCCAGGAGATACCGGTCTAAAAAAAAAAGAGAGAGAGATTCTGAGAAAAGTAGAGGGTGAGTTAAAAAGAGGAAGACCCTCAAAAAGATAGATTAACACAGTGATTGCTTGTGGGCTTGTGCATGGCAAAGATTATAACGAAGGTTAGAGCAAGGTTTTTCTCCATTGTTGATAGGTTCTATTATGGTCATTTCTTCTCTTTTCTCTTCTCTGGCATATAATATATTTTGCCCATGATAACAATCTCATCAATATCACAGTAATTATTTTGCACTTTTTTTCTTCAAGTAGGCGAATGACACCTACTTCTAATGATATACATGCTCCGTAGGAGGGCCTCTGCTTATGATCCATTTGTTTGTTCCACGTACCATAAAAGATTGTGAAAATCTCCTTAGAAATGGACCCTGAGATGTGAAGGTGGTCACCCTGGTCAGAGTCACAGGTAATTTTTAGAAGAACAGGAATGAACTTTTTGCCCTTAGTCACTGAGTACTTTTATATGATGTCATGTAGTGCATCATTGTCTTTAGAAAGTTACTATCCTTTTCATTAATTCTTTATTGACTCTCTCAGACATATGTAGAATCTAAATCCTTTCCAAAAGTAGTCACATGACCCATTTCTCAATCTCATGTTTTTGCAAAGTGACACAGATAAAATGCTTACTTTCTACTATAAAACAATTATAGATATTAGAAAGAGCTCCAAAAGATCATCATTTCAAGTTCCCAAACAAGAAAGAGAACGTGCTAACACCCTATGGCCTACCAAAGGCTATTTTCTATTGACAAGAAATGGGTTTCATAGCTGAGAGTTATTTCTGCAATTTTATTATTATCCTTTGCCATCCTTTTATCTTAATCTCTCCCTTTCCCTATGACCTTCCTCAGAGCCCCCTTCACATCTTTATTCCTCAAAGTATAAATCACAGGATTAAGCATGGGGGTGACTATGGTATAAAAAAGAGCCACAAACTTCCCTTCACCCTGAGAATAACTACTTGTGGGTTGGAGGTATGTGTAGATGGCTGAGCCATAAAAAAGGGAAACCACTAAGAGGTGGGATCCACAAGTCCCAAAAGCCTTTCTCTGTCCAGCAATTGAGTTAACCTTCAGCACTGCCTGAGCAATGTATACATAGGAGACTAGAATCAGTGATACAGGAACCACTAAAATGATGACTCGTGCCACAAACATCTTCACTTCTGTCCCTTGTGTGTCCTCACAAGCCAGCTTCAAGAACACAGGCATCTCACAGAAGAAGTGATTCAGGCAATGAAGGCCACAGAGGGGCATGGCCATCATGAGGCCGGTCTGAACTAGAGAATTCATGAATCCTCCCAGCCAGGAGATGGCAGCAAGTGTCTGGCAGAGACGAGGGTGCATAATGGTTGTATAGTGGAGTGGTCTGCAGACAGCAGCATAGCGATCAAAGGCCATTACCACCAAGAGTAGACACTCAGTGGAGCCCAAGGCAAGAGAGATGAAAAGCTGAGCCACACAGCCTCCATAGGTGATGGTCCGGTCAGATCCGTGAAGGTTGATGAGAAGCTGTGGCACAGTGCTGGTGGTGTAGCAGAGGTCCAGGAAGGAGAGATGACAGAGGAAAAAGTACATGGGTGTGTGCAGCCGAACATCCAGATAGGAGAGAATGATGATAGCGGTGTTGCCAAAGAGAGTGAGAGAGTAGAAAATTGTAATAAACACAAAAAGGGATTGTTCCAGTTTAGGCCAATCTGAGAAGCCCACCAAAATGAAGCCTTCTCCAAAGCTTGTGTTGAGTCTTTCTGTGGTTCCCTTGGATAGTAAATGTTCTTCAGAAGAGGCTTTAAAAGAAAATAATAAATATGTGATAGGGCAATGGAAGAAAGACCTTTTTTTATTATTATACTAGTTTATTTATAAAATTCTAATACATTTATCCCACACCAGAGTCTTCCAATTTCCCTCACCACCCACTCACCCATCAAATTGTACAACCCCATGATTAATGCCCCCCTCCAGGATGTCCTCATCCCTCTGCTTCCACTCTTCTCCCTCCTTAGAACCTCACACTCATTCTACAATAAAGGTTTTGTACAATATTTGATAACACAATTACAAAATGGGCAAAAGACATGGAAAGAATTTTCACAGAGAAAGATACTTGAATGACCAACAGACCCATGAAGAAATGCTCCAAATCACTGGTAATAAGAGAGATGCAAATTAAAACCACAATGAGATACCATTTCATTAGAGTAACAGAAGCAAAGTTTAATAAGACAGTGAGTAATAGATGTTGGAGAGGAGGTGGCGAGGTTGGAGAGGAGGAGGAACTCTTATAACATTGTTAGTGGGATAGTAAAAATGGTCCAACCATTCTGGAAGACAGTTTAGTACTTCTTTAAAAAGCTGAACATAGAAATTCCATATGAACTCACTATTGCACTGCTTGGAATGTACCCTGTGAAAATTAGAACTGAGGCACAAAAGGAGACTTGTACACTAATGATCATAGCAGTATTATACACCATTACAAGAACATAGAAATAGCTTAACTACAATCAAATGGATTGAGAAATTATGGTACAGTCACATGATGGAATACTATGCAACATGTAGGAACAATGATTTCAAGTCCTCCTCACTTTCAGAAAGGAAGGCTGTGTCATCATGTATGTTGTTGATGAGTTCTCCAAACATGCTACATTCATTTTCACATAGTCTCGTTTCTCAGATCATTTTCTCAGCACACAGATTACAGATGGTAAAATGATAGAACGCCAATGCACAGCTTTCCTAATATTTAAACTATGCAGCTATCCCCTTGTTCTGTTCAAGTAAGTGCATTTTAGAGCATGTAATTTTATGTGAGGATAATTAAGTCATCTGGGATTTCCATTCTTCTCAAAGTTAGCCATAATTTATTATCATCCGCGGAGTTGAATGTTAATATCTTTGCATAATGAAAAACCATAAACTGGACTCTTTTTAGCATCCAGTGCCTTCAGCTAAAAGCCACCTGATGGGATATCATCAATAATGATGGTCTTAATTCCAGGGCCTCTTCTAAACTCACCTTAAATTATTGACAGCGTACTTTGATGTTCTACTCCAGCTGTTTTGAATAATCAGCTTCAAGTTATATAAGTGATACAGTTTAATAATTTCTGTATTCTGTTACGTAACTTTTTCACCAAAATGACATAAATATGGATCTCTTCTAGTCAGATAACCATCATACTTATACTTTCTTCCAAATTTCCTGGAATATATTAGTGAGCCTGTACAGGGCTGCATATTTCCTGAAACACTTCAACTGACATTTTGTCTTAACCTGGAGCCTTGTGTTTTGTCCATGCTTTCAGTAGAACTTTGACTTACTTCTTCCTTATCATTGGTTCTTCATTATATGCTACTTCTTGAAATGGTTCAGTATAGACCAATTCTTTGGGGCATAGCAACTCTGTCTATTACTTCATCTTCACTTGATGCTTCCTGTGTCATTTAATACTTTGCCCATATAATCTTTCAATATTGCACCTTAAGGCTTAACTTTTTCTTCCATTCTTTCAGCATTAAAAATACAGAGCTTGTTTTCTCTTTCTGTTCTCTAACTCAAGATGTTTACATATATCATTACACTACTTTGTTCTGTCTTATTGAGCTGCTCTTTGAAATCTTCTGTCCAGTTCTCTTACTATTTCTTATTCATTTTTCCTTTTGCCTGCTATTAAAAGAAGATGGAAAGAATATAATGAGTCACTGTATTGAAAGGAATTGGAAGACACAGAAGAATTTCATGAAACAACATATGAGCAAGAGCCTATGGTGATGAAAGAAG